GGCTGCCCAGTTCCGGTCTCCAGGAATGTAACTGCACGAAGGGACCTGAGGTGCTTCTGACTCCATATCAAGAGGTGGCGGGCGAGCTGCGACAACTGGCGTGAGCGTAGACCCCCCTGGTGGTTGATGTACGCTACTGCCGTAGTGTTGTCTGAGCGGACAAGCACATGCTGGCCCTTGAGCAACGCTCGGAAGCGGTGTAGGGCGAGCCGTACTGCCAACAGCTCGAGGCAATTGATGTGCATGAGGCGCTGGGCTCCTGTCCAGGAACCGGCGGCTGCATGCCCATTGCACATGGCACCCCAACCCGTGGTAGATGCATCCGTGGAGACAACGAGATGCCTGGAAACTCGCTGAATAGGGACGCCGGTCCGTAAGAAGCTGAGGTTCGACCACGGGAAGAAGGTTCGGCGGCACGCAGGAGTCACTGGAACTCGGAGCGAGCCGCGATGCCATGCCCACCTCGGGACTCGATCGCGAAGCCACAGCTGAAGCGGTCTCATATGAAGCAAACCGAGCGGCGTTGCCGCGGCCGCGGATGCCATATGCCCCAGGAGCCTCTGAAATAGTTTCAGTGGAACCGCACTCTTGCCCTCGAACTGTCGAAGACAAGTCAGCCGTGAGTGCGCGCGCTCGTTCGTGAGCTGCGCGGACATGGCGACCGAGTCTATCTCCATGCCGAGAAAAGAGATCCTCTGCACGGGGCAAAGTTTGCTCTTTTCCCGGTTGACCCGAAGGCCCAAACGGGCTAGGTGCCGGAGCACCAAGTCTCTGTGTTCGCAAAGCTGAGCTCGAGAGTGTGCTAGTATCAGCCAGTCGTCGAGATAATTCAGGATGCGAACCCCGTGTTCGCGAAGGGGAACAAGGGCTGCCTCGACGATCTTATGAAGACGCGAGGGACAGAGCTAACCCGAATGGGAGAACGGCGTACTGATATGCCTGGCCCTCGAAGGCAAACCGAAGAAACGGTCTGTGTCGAGGTAAGATGGACACATGGAAGTACGCGTCCTTCAGGTCGATCGCTGCAAACCAATCCTGATACCGAACACATTCGAAAATGCGTTCGGCCGTGAGCATCTTGAACGGTAGTCGATGGAGAGAACGGTTCAAAATGCGCAGGTCCAGGATCGGTCGTAACCCACCGGTCTTCTTGGGGACAATGAAGTAGGGGCTGTAAAACCCGGACTCCACCTCGGCTGGAGGGACCGTCTCGATTGCACCCTTCGCCAGCAGGGTCGCAATCTCCGCTCTCAGGAGTGGGGCATTGCCACCAACTATCGTGGAGCGAACTCCCCTGAAGCGGGGAGGAGACCGTGCGAACTGAATCGCGTAGCCGAATCTGATCGTTCTGATGACCCAGCGGGATATCCCGGGAAGCACTAGCCAGGCTTCCAGGAAGTGAGCCAACGGGGTCATGTGAACCACAGACGTCCCCCCGGAGGGGCAGCGTGGCGGGTCGACTGGCACGCGTGCAGGGATGACCCCGCTCGGATGCGTCGAAGCCCGCTCCCTGACGGAAGGGACCAGGGAAAGCGGAGCGTTCCACGGGGGTCCGTTCCGCCGGGGGTCTGGCGACAGAGGGGGAAGGGATTGGCGTAGCCCGGGGACGACACTCGCACCCTTCCGCACCCTCAGAGACAGAGAGGAATGTGTGGGCTGACGCACTGGAGCGTCGAGCGCACTCATTCCAGTCTGTGGGCTCAGTGATGATGTCAAGTCTTTCTTAACCAACTCAGGGCGCTGCCCACCCGTGGGCGAGCAGCGGGAACTGAAAACGAAAGATTTTCCCCCCGGCCCTCCACCGGGGGCAGGAGGGGGCCTGCTCCCGCCTCCTGGGGAAAAACTCAACTCCATCACTGAGCAGCCCGTATCAGGATCATCGCTTACCTGGCGTTTAGCGGGGTGTGCGGCCTGAGGGGGCTGTGACGCCTGCCGGCGGCCTCCTCCACGCCGTGGCCCGGATGAAGGCTGCTGCTGGGGCGGGGCGGGAGGCAGGGAGCCGCGGGGGGGCGTCCTCGGCGGCGAGCAGCGGGAGGCATCTGTGCCGACGACTGGGTGGAGGCAGCAGCTGGTCGTCGGGGCAGAACATGTTTGATTGCCTCCGTCTGCTCCTGGGCAGTGGAGACTGCTGGGCAAGAGTTCTCGACTGCACCGCCAAAAAAGGCCAACCTGGGAGAGAAGGGCGTCGAGCAGACGAATCCGCTCAGCGCTCCGAGTGTCTGCCAGGTTGACGCTCCTGGACCACACTAGTGGCCATCACCTGACCAACGGCGCGAGCGGCCACTTTCGTTGCCCTTTTGGAGAGCAAGGTCAGTGGCGGACCGCAAATCTTCGAATGCCGTTGGATCAGTCCCGCCCTCGAGCATATCTCTGAGCATCTGCGCTTGCACAGTGCTCATCGCATGCAAAGCGGAGGCCGCCCGTCCCGCCGCTCTACAGGAACGCGCCGCCATGGCAGACGAGAACCTACAGGCTTTGGATGGGTGCCTAGGAGGACCACGGAGGAGGCGCCCTGTGGACACAGCTGTATCGCAACAGAACGCTCCAGCGGGGGCATCCCAGTGCACCCACGGGCGGCCCCCCCATCGAGGGGGGAAAGGCGGGGGAGAGATCGCGCTCTCGAGTGGACAGAGGAGTCCCCCAAGAGCGCGATAACTCCGCATGCAGCTCGGGGAAAAAAAAGGCAATGGAGTTGGCCGTGGCCTCGCGGCGGCAGCTTTGTCCAAAAACCAATTATCCCTCCGTGAGAGATCGGGGGAGAATGGAGGATGCCACTCTAACCCAATACTCCCAGCGGCTTGAGACAGCATGCCGTCAGCTCGGGATCCGACACGGGCAGCGCTGGCTCTCCCGAAGGGGGCAGTGCAGCCGCATCCTCATCTCCCGAGGACTGTAGCCCACCTAGTGATGCTGCGATCGACATCACATCATCATCTGGAGCGCTGCTCGAAGCAGCCGGTACCACTGAAGAGGCAGCCGACTGAATCGAACTAACGCTCGCTGGCTCACGCACTGAGGCGGGAGGTGTGGCCCGAGAAATCGTCGGCTTTATGCCACACCGTCACCGTTAATTCGCCGGGTCCCCGGTCGACGGGCCCCCTCTCGTGAAGGAAGCCGATCGAGTAAGGGGGACCGGGGCTCTCACTCTAGTGAGATTTTTTTTTTTTTTTTTTATATATATATATATATATAAAAATATACATTCTATATATAAAATATAATTTTTCTATATATATATATATATATCTTTTTTTTTTTTTTTTTTTTTAACCTCAGTGTGGAGATGGTCATGTCCCCATAGCAGGAACATGAGTCATCCACGAACGCTGCTGCTGCATGCTGAATGCCCAGGCATACAGAGCAGCGATCGCGACCATCAGATGACGACAGAAATCGACCGCATCCAGAAGAACACGGGCGAACCGTCTTTAAAAAGACGTGCCGCGTGTAGCTCTTTTACAGAGAGGAGGAAATTCACTCTTTCAGCGCTGAGGCGACCAGGGAGAAGCGCAAAGTCTGGCAGACCACTGCACAGATCGCAGGCAATGCAGAAACTCGCTGGGTACCGCCGTCACACCAACACTGAAGAGGACGCTCGTCTCGAAGAGTCTTGTAATAGCTTTCAGGAGTGAAGAGGTTCTCTTGGCTCCGAAGCGAAAACATACTGCGGTTGCGTTCACTTCCTCCTTTTATACTCACGGAGTAGGGCGGAGTACGCTATGCAAATTTCCGCAGCCCCAAGGCATTGCATGCCATTGGCTCGTGTTTAAATACTCGAAGAGGATTGGCTTTCTATGCGAAACCCCCAATCTCCGTCACTTCTGACGTAACTCGAAGTGACTACGAAAGGGAACAGGGTGTGCTTTCTGCCATCTCAGACTCTGTGAATAACATTTAAGTGTCTACATTTAAATGATCTCATTTAAAACAAATATTCTCTCCATTTCCCTGTAAGAGAACGATGTCCAGTCTGTGAAAATATTGTTACTGTATACTGTATATATTTGTTACACAATAGGAAATATTGTTCAAATCTGATTAAAACTTCCCCATAGTTCCCCCCAACACTTCCCCATGACTAAAAGCACCAGTGCACCTGTAAAAGAACTTGATTGTATGTTTATAAAAATCAAGTTAAACCAGTTTTAAAATACCAGAGATAAAATACCAAAAACACAACCAAACCTGCACTGGAAATTTAGGTTTGTGATACTTCCTCACAAAACCTCAAAGGAGGACAAATTGGAAGGTCCTTTAATCGTGTTAAGGTTACTGTCATCTTGATGAGGATACCTTCCTAATGTTCAACTTTTCATAATATTTAGTAGGCTAACACCTCAGCATTTTAATGTCTAATAATCAACAACCACATTAAACACCACTGAAAACTCAAAAACTTAAACCTTCACTTAGATATTTACAAATGCTTGCTGCAAAAACAGTCAGAGGGGAATATGAAAGGTATGAAAAATATGCTGCACAAAAAAAAAAAAAATCATAAAAACATACTTCCCATCTTAAACTGTATCGCCCAGACTTCAGAGAAAAGTATGCAAACACTGCAACACCTGTAGTACAATAAACCACTTTGCAAGGTGCTGCAAGTCTATGCCAGCACAGCCAGTTGGTGCTAAAATAAAAGTGTCCTGTCCTGTCCTATTAACAGTGGACAGGACAGGACACTGTTTTTCTGTCCACAGGACACATCTCCATGGGACTCATCCACCTGGGAACTGATACACATGGAACATTTAACAGTATTAAAAAAGTTTCACACGTTTCAACATTTTCACTGAATAGCGCTTTTGACACATTAAAAAAACATAATGTAGGCTATGAGCTAATGAAATGAAGACTCATTTAAGTGGGAAAAAAAGTTTTATTTTTGCAGTTAACCTCTAACCGACCAACAAATCCTGTAATCTATCCTTTAACTTCTGTTCCTAGCTATTTTTGCTTTAGTGTACTTTTCTGTTCAGAACAGAGAAAATATCAGAATGTCAATGGATGATAGCTTGTTTTTATTAATTAGTACACATCTAAATCAATATAATTTTTAAAGAACAAATGATTTGCTTAAAACCATTTGTAAAGAAGAAAAATGGCAGATATCAACATTTAGATCATCAAAGTCAAAAAATGTTTATCTCTCAACATTTATAAAGTCAGCCTCATAATCGACATAGGGGACAGTTTCCTAATAAACAGTTTACTAAGACAAATGCAGCGGTAACGCTTCCATTTACAGTCCTTTTACCCATGTTCATACTATGTACTTACTGTAGTAATTACAATTCCTGGGTAATAACTAGTACTAACCCTGAATCTACCCCTATGTACTTACCTTAGCCAGTACTTTCTAGGTAAGCACACTGTAAGTACACTGTAAGTACTGTACTGTAAAAGGAAGCGGTACCGATGCAAATTTACACATTCACTTCTAATCAGTTTTCTTAAAGCAAAGAAAGAAGAGTTAAGAAAAACGTATTCAGCACAGCAATAAAGACTTATATTTTAGTTTCACAAAGTCTTTGCTACATTATTGTGTACAAATAGAGACAAACTCAGCACAAACAATTATCTCTATAATTAATATTTCTCTATAGATGTTATGCTTTATTTATATCATTGTTGTTTTTCTTTTTCTTTTAGAAACTAAAGGATCATCAACTAAAGGATTGTGGAAATAAGATTGTGTATTTTAATTGTGTCATAAAGGATAAAAGCTTCATTATATGACCTTGCAGCCAGAATCAGGACTTGACTTATACTATTTATTAATTATGTTGTACACTTGTTGTCCTCAATGAGGTACTAGGATCCTTCCTGTCAAAAAAACAACCAAACAAACAAAAAAACATTACAATGCATGTATAATACAGGGATGATGTAAAAAGACTCGTATCAAACTGATTTATACTAAATCATTTTAACTAACCTGTTGATTTCTTCTTGTAGTAAATGAGTCCAGCAGCTGCTATGATGATTCCCAGCACCAGACCAGAGGACCCAATAGCGATTTTATTCCTCTCAGACTCTGGGAGAGACGGATCTGTCCGATACACTGGTGTGTTAAATGATGCTGCCCACAAACATTTTACTTAAATGACAGTACGTAAGTATCTCCTCTTACCCCAGTCATAAATCATGGGTTTATGGAAGCTGGCGTGCTCCACCACACAGGAGATCTTCTCTCCAGATTTAGGAGTGTATTCCAGCTCAGAGTGAATCTGGTAGTACCAGTCTCCATCAGCCATCTCCATTGTTGAGGTCACTTCAGAGGTCATCAGTTTACCATCTCTCAGCCAGGACACTTTAATGTGTGGAGGATAAAATTCATATGCGCTGCACATCAACACAGCTGGATGATTCCCACCAGCCTGCGTCACTGAACTGAGCTTAACCTGCGGTTTCACTGTATTAAGAAGAGCAGCGTCCTTAATAAGTATATTGTGTACAGTATATGTGTGTATGTGCAACGCATTCTCATCCTTTAGCGTCATATAGAACGCTATATGACAAAACGGCGCTATACTACGCACATGGCACGCGTTATCATTAATATAACACGCGCTGTGAGGGCTAAGTTTAGGTGTGGGGTACGGTCTGCGTGTCATATTCACGCTAAAGGATCTATGACGTCTTGGGTTCGCGTGTTATATTAACGATAAAGGGTGCCATGTGCGTAGTATAGCGCCGTTTTGTCATATAGCGTTTTATGTGACGCTAAAGGATGAGAACGGGCTGATATATGTATACGTATATATGCTCTACATGAGAGAAAAATGAGAGAAGAGTCTTGTGCCACTTACCTGATTTCTCACAGATAGCGGAGTCAAACACTTGAGCATTACCTTTGCAGTACCAGTCCACAACAGCTCTTTCTTTATGCACTAAAGGACCACGGTTCCAGGACTCCGCAAGTTTCATTCCAAACTCATTAAACCCCACAAATCTCCCCAGAGTGCTGTCAAACTGTATGAATAGAAATGTATTGAAATAATAGCTGTTAAAATACACCATGTCACTGATATTAGAGGAGCTGTAGATGCATCTTGACAGTCGGTATCGGTAATATACATTAGCTGAAAAAGAATGAACACAGAGAACAAACTGTCAGACCAATGTCAAGAAAAAAGAAACAGAAGAACTTGGAAGCTTCAGTCAGTTGCAGTACAGGGTTGTTCTTTATAAAAGTACTTGTTAATTATTATAATAGTAATAGTTAACTAATACCACAACTACAATTACATCAATACCACTATTACTTACCACTTTCTACTACAAGGAATGCAGCCAGTGTCCATATGAGATGATAACACAAGAGCTTTTGTAGTGACATTTTCACTCACACTAATTCTCAGCTGAATGCTGCCAGTGCTTTGTTCATGTTCATGAGATGGATGTCTAAGATAACTGACAAGTGTCAAGTGTTGCTAGGCAGCATCCTGCTTTCATTTTACAACAAAAACAATTGTACAAGTTATTAATGCGATGAATTATATTATTCAGTGATCAATTTAAATATAATCAGGTGTCAAAGCACTGAAGTGTAAGGGTGCAAGTCCAAACACCAAAGGCCACCAAAGACCATATTTCCCAAAATTGACAGGATGGTCCCACCTGGTTGCACCTTACCACTACACACCCATCTGGCTCAGTGATTTTCATCATGCCAGTACTGAACACAATCAAATATTAGCATCACTGTCACTTGATGGTGGAAATTTAACCAAGAATATGGTTAAGAGGCAACATAGTGAAATAAATTCTACAAACGAAAACCTTCCAATAAATATTTTTAAACAGCAAATGATCTTCACATCCTATTTAAAATTGTCTTGTGACAGCCTATGACAATTAGATTAATACATTTAAATGTTTAAATTGAAATAAGGAATATAATTCCTCACAGGGAGGGAACGCTTAATCCCTTTTGGTTGCTTCAGGGGTCTTAAAGCTAGGCCTTCCCGCTCATAGAGTCTTGTGCACCTTCTACTGGGTGTCTAGACAGCCCGTTCTCATCCCAAGGCATGTTTAGATGACTAACTGACGCTTTTGACCAATCGTCAACATCCAACGCTTTAGGGCACCCTTTAGCGTCAGTTAGATGACGCTATCCTAGTGGTCTAACCCTAACCCTACCCCAGACCTAAACCTACCCATGTCATCTATAACTGACGCTAAAGGTAAAGCATCAGTTAGATGACGACCTAGGATAGCGTCATCTAACTGACGCTAAAGGGTGCCCTAAAGCGTTGGATGTTGACGCATGGTCAAAAGCGTCAGTTTGATGACACCTTGGGATGAGAATCTGTTGGTCTAGACACTGGATAATGGGAACTATTGCCTCATTTCATTCCCCGATTGACGGCCAAACAATCGGGAGGCACACGCTGGTGGTCAGATTTCTATGGAGGCCAAGGAGACTACATCACCATTGCCCACCCTCTGTACTGCCAAATGGGACCTAGCGCTGGTACAGAAGGCTCTCTCTCTTCCCCTGTTCGAGCCCTTGGCATCCATTGCTATTAGGGAGCTCTCTCTCAAGACTGCTCTGCTTCTTGCCCTTGCTTACGGTGACTATACAAATGGACGAGCATTCTCTGAGAAGAGGCTTTCTCACTGGATTGTGGATGCTATCGCTTTTCTTATGCGAGCCAAGGACAGGAATGCCATTTCAATATCAGAGTTCATTCGACAAGGGCTATTGCCTCTTCTTAAAGCAGAGGTTGGCCTGAAGGCACGTCTTTTTGGGATAAAGCTTTGAGCGTATGCACTCTTTTAGGATGAAATCTGCAGAAGGTTTTATACATGAGGCCCCTGCTGTTCCCTTTCGTAGTCACTTCGAGTTACGTCAGAAGTGACGGAGATTGGGGGATTTCGCATAGAAAGCCAATCCTCTTCGAGTATTTAAACACGAGCCAATGGCATGCAATGCCTTGGGGCTGCGGAAATTTGCATAGCGTACTCCGCCCTACTCCGTGAGTATAAAAGGAGGAAGTGAACGCAACCGCAGTATGTTTTCGCTTCGGAGCCAAGAGAACCTCTTCACTCCTAAAAGCTGATTCAAGACTCTTCGAGAACGAGCGTCCTCTTCAGTGTTGGTGTGACGGCGGTACCCAGCGAGATTCTGCATTGCCTGCGATCTGAGCAGTGGTCTGCCAGACTTTGCACTTCTCCCTGGTAGCCTCAGCACTGAAAGAGTGAATTTCTCCTTTCTCATAAAAGTGAAAGTGAAAGAGCTGCACGCGGCACGTCTTTTTAAAGATGGTTCGCCCGTGCCCTTCTGGATGTGGTAGATTTCTGTCATCATCTGATGGTCACGAACGCTGCTTTGTATGCCTGGGCATTCAGCATGCAGCAGCAGCGTTCGTGGATGACTCATGTTCCTTCTGTGGGAGCATGACCATCTCCACACTGAGGTCGAGGCTCAATGATCTCACTAGAGTGAGAGCCCCGGTCCCCCCTACTCGATCGGCTTCCTTCACGAAAGGGGGCCCGTCGACCCGGGGACCCGGCGATCTAACGGTGACGGTGTGGGATAGAGCCCCGACGATTCCTCGGGCCACACCTCCCGCCTCAGTGCGTGAGCCAGCGAGCGCCAGCTCGATTCAGTCGGCTGTCTCTTCGGCGGCGCCGGCTGCTTCTAGCAGCGCTCCAGATGATGATGTGATGTCTATCACTGCATCACTAGGCGGGCTTGAGTCCTCGGGAGAGGAAGATGCGGCTGCGTTGCCCCCTTCGGGAGTGCCAGCGTTGCCCGTGTCAGATCCCGAGCTGACGGCCATGCTGTCTCGAGCCGCTGGGAGTATTGGGCTAGAATGGAAACCTCCATCCTGCCCCGATCTCTCGTGGATGGATAACTGGTATCTGGACAAAGCTGCCGCCGCAAGGCCACGGCCAACTCCGATACCTTTTTTCCCCGAGCTGCATGCGGAGTTATCGCGCTCTTGGGAGGCTCCTTTGTCCACTCGAGAGCGCGATCTCTCCCCCGCCTTCCCCCCCCTCGACGGTGGGGCCGCCCGTGGGTACACTGGGATGCCCCCGGTGGAGCGCTCTGTTGCGATGCAGCTGTGTCCACAGAGCGCCTCCACCCGTGGTCCTCCTAAGCACCCATCCAAAGCCTGTGGGTTCTCGTCTGCTATGGCGGCGCGATCCTATAGAGCGGCGGGACAGGCGGCCTCCGCTTTGCATGCCATGAGCACTTTGCAGGTCTTCCAAGCGAAGCTGCTCAGAGACATGCACGAGGGCGGGACTGACTCGACGGCATTTAAAGATTTGCGGTCCGCCACTGACCTTGCTCTCCGGGCAACGAAAGTGGCCGCTCGCGCCGTCGGTCAGGTGATGGCCACTTCGGTGGTTCAGGAGCGCCATCTCTGGCTCAACCTGGCAGATACGCGGAGCGCTGAGCGGACTCGTCTGCCCAGAAGCAGACGGAGGCCATTAAACACATCCTGCCCCGGCGACCAGCTGCTGCCTCCACCCAGTCATCGGCGCAGGTGCCTCCCTCTGCTCGCCGCCGAGGACGCCCCCCTGCGGCTCCCCTCCCTCCCGCCCGGCCCCAGCAGCAGCCTTCACCCGGGCCCCGGCGTCGAGGACGCCGCAGGCCGGCGTCACAGCCCCCTCAGGCCGCTCGCCCCGCTAAACGCCAGGCCAAGCGAAGATCCTGACACGGGCCGCTCAGTGACGATCTCGAGTCTTTCTCAGGAGGCGGTAGCAGGCCCCCTCCTTCCCCCGGTGGATGGCCGGGGGAGAATCTTTTGTTCTCAGCTCCCCGCTGCTCACCCACGGGTGGGCAGCACCCTGAACTGGTTAAAGAAAGACTTGATATCCTCACTGAGCTCACAGACTGGAGTGGGTGCGCTCGATGCCCCCGTGCGTCAGCCCACACACTCCTCTCTGTCTCTGAGGGCGCGGAAGGGTGCGTGTGTCGTCCCAGGGCTACACCAATCCCTTCCCCCTCTGTCGCCAGACCCCCGGCAGAACAGACCCCCGTGGAACGCTCCGCTTTCCCTGGTCCCTTCTGTCGGGGAGCGGGCTTCGACGCATCCGAGCGGGGTAACTCCTGCACGCGTGCCAGTCGACCCGCACCGCTGCCCCTCCGGGGGACGTCTGTGGTTCGCATGACCCCGTTGGCTCATTTCCTGGAAGCCTGGCTAGCGCTTCCTGGGATATCCCGCTGGGTCATCAGAACGATCAGACTCGGCTACGCGATTCAGTTCGCACGGTCTCCTCCCCGCTTCACGGGAGTTCGCTCCACGATGGTCGGTGGCAATGCCCCAGTCTTGAGAGCGGAGATTGCGACCCTGCTGGCGAAGGGTGCAATCGAGACGGTCCCTCCAGCCGAGGTGAGGTCCTGGTTTTACAGCCCCTACTTCATTGTCCCCAAAAAGACCGGTGGGTTACGACCGATCCTGGACCTGCGCATTTTGAACCGTTCTCTCCATCGACTACCGTTCAAAATGCTCACGGCCAAACGCATTTTCGAATGTGTTCGGTATCAGGATTGGTTTGCAGCGATCGACCTGAAGGACGCGTACTTCCATGTCTCCATTCTCCCTCGACACAGACCGTTTCTTCGGTTTGCCTTCGAGGGCCAGGCATACCAGTACGCCGTTCTCCCATTCGGGTTAGCTCTGTCCCCTCGCGTCTTCACGAAGATCGTCGAGGCAGCCCTTGTTCCCCTTCGCGAACACGGGGTTCGCATCTTGAACTATCTCGACGACTGGCTGATACTAGCACACTCTCGAGCTCAGGTTTGCGAACACAGAGACCTGGTGCTCCGGCACCTAGCCCGTCTGGGCCTTCGGGTCAACCGGGAAAAGAGCAAACTTTGCCCCGTGCAGAGGATCTCTTTTCTCGGCATGGAGATAGACTCGGTCGCCATGTCCGCGCAGCTCACGAACGAGCGCGCGCACTCACTGCTGGCTTGCCTTCGTCAGTTCGAGGGCAAGAGTGCGGTTCCACTGAAACTTTTTCAGAGGCTCCTGGGGCATATGGCATCCGCGGCCACAGCAACGCCGCTCGGTTTGCTTCATATGAGACCGCTTCAGCTGTGGCTTCGCGATCGAGTCCCGAGGTGGGCATGGCATCGCGGCTCGCTCCGAGTTCCAGTGACTCCAGCGTGCCGCCGAACCTTCTTCCCGTGGTCGAACCTCAGCTTTTTACGGACCGGCGTCCCTATTCAGCGAGTTTCCAGGCATCTCGTTGTCTCCACGGATGCATCTACCACGGGTTGGGGTGCCATGTGCAATGGGCATGCAGCCGCCGGTTCCTGGACAGGAGCCCAGCGCCTCATGCACATCAATTGCCTCGAGCTGTTGGCAGTACGGCTCGCCCTACACCGCTTCCGAGCGTTGCTCAAGGGCCAGCATGTGCTTGTCCGCTCAGACAACACTACGGCAGTAGCGTACATCAACCACCAGGGGGGTCTACGCTCACGCCAGTTGTCGCAGCTCGCCCGCCACCTCTTGATATGGAGTCAGAAGCACCTGAGGTCCCTTCGTGCAGTTTACATTCCTGGAGACCGGAACTGGGCAGCCGACGAGCTGTCCCGGGTCCGTCCCATCTCCGGCGAATGGCGACTCCATCCCCAGTCGGTCCAGCTGATTTGGGACGAGTTCGGGGAGGCACAGATAGACCTGTTCGCCTCTCGGGACTCGTCCCACTGCACCCAGTTTTATTATCTGACCCGCGGCACTCTCGGCTCGGATGCGCTGGCGCACAGCTGGCCACGGGGCCCACGCAAGTATGCGTTTCCCCCAGTGAGCCTCCTTGCACGGGTGTTGTGCAAGATCAAGGAGGACGAGGAGCAGGTCTTGCTGGTAGCCCCCTATTGGCCCACCAAGACATGGTTCTCCGAGCTCATGCTCCTCGCGACAGCACCTCCTTGGCCTATTCCTCTGAGACCGGACCTACTCTCTCAGAGACGGGGCACTCTGTGGCACCCTCGTCCCGATCTTTGGAGGCTGCACGTGTGGCTCCTGGACGGGACGAGGCAGGTTTGAGTTCGCTGCCACCTGCGGTGGCGGCAACCATCACTTCCGCAAGAGCGTCGTCCACGAGACACCTTTATGCGTTGAAGTGGAACCTCTTCGTCAATTGGTGTTCTTCTCGCGGAGAAGACCCCGGAGATGCTCGATCAGTGTCGTGCTTTCCTTCCTGCAAGAGGGGTTGGAGCGCAGGCTGTCGCCCTCCACCCTTAAGGTTTACGTCGCGGCCATTGCCGCTTCTCATGAAGCAGTGGAAGGTAAGTCCTTAGGGAAGCACGACCTGGTCATCAGGTTCCTGAGGGGAGCGAGGAGGCTGCATCCGCCTCGTCCTCCCCTCGTACCCTCTTGGGACCTCTCGGTAGTTTTAAGTGCTCTGCAGAGGCATCCCTTTGAGCCTTTGCAATCGGTAGAGTTAAAGTTTCTGTCCATGAAGACAGCACTCCTGGTTGCATTGGCCTCCATCAAGAGGGTGGGGGACCTGCACGCATTCTCCGTTGACGAAGCGTGCCTGGAGTTCGGGCCGGCTTACTCTCACGTGATCCTGAGACCCCGGCCTGGATATGTGCCCAAGGTTCCCACCACTCCCTTCCGGGACCAGGTGGTGAACCTGCAAGCGCTGCCCCTGGAGGAGGCAGACCCAGCCTTGGCACTGCTCTGTCCGGTACGTGCTCTCCGCACCTATGTCGACAGAACGCAGTGTTTCAGGACCTCAGACCAGCTCTTTGTCTGTCATGGAGGGAGCCAGAAGGGAAGGGCTCTCTCAAAGCAACGGCTGTCCCACTGGATAGTGGATGCCATTGCTTTGTCTTACCAGCAGCAGGGCCTTCCGTGCCCCTTTGGTGTGACGGCCCATTCCACTCGGAGTGTGGCCTCCTCTTGGGCTTTAGCGCACGGCGCCTCGCTAACAGACATCTGCAGAGCTGCAGGCTGGGCGACACCCAACACCTTCGCCAGGTTCTATAATCTGCGAGTTGAGCCGGTATCCTCTCACGTACTCGTTTCGGCCAGTTCTGGATCCGCTCAGGTGTCTTCGCTTGCTCGCCACTCCACTCCCCGGACTGGATAAGTGCGATATTTCCTCAGTTCTTCCATTGAAGTCTTGAGTCCTCCAGCACCGACGATGCGGGCACCACTGCTGTTGCTCTGGATGCTAGCTAGGTGCCTCCATGCGCACGGTTCCCCATGGTAACCGTCTCATGTGTATTATCCACTGTAAGCCTCTCTGATTATGTGTCTTCCCTTGGCAAGCCATCTGCCACCCCTGGAGTTTAAATTAGTAGCCACCTGCGGTTGGTACTCCAGTGTTCCATATGCGTTCCTATGTGGCCATATGTGTATTCATAAGTCCTCCCTTCGGTAGGCAGCTGGTAGCATGTCCCCTTCGGGATATGTTTCCCAGTGTACCTTGGTAATCCTGTGTCAAAGTCGGATCCCCAAAAAAAAAAAAAAAAAAAGAGGTAAGGCTCGGGGGTTCAGTCTTTCGCAGGGCACTGGAAGACAGCTTGAAGATGGCGTGATGGCACAGACCCCCAATCTCCGTCACTTCTGACGTAACTCGAAGTGACTACGAAAGGGAACGTCTCGGTTACGTATGTAACCCTCGTTCCCTGAGTAGGGAACGGAGACGTTACGTCTCCCTGCCACTTCTGCTGTATCGCTGGGTAGATGCCGAGTTCAGTCTTGGCTCCTCAGCGAAGACATACTGCGGTTGCGTTCACTTCCTCCTTTTATACTCACGGAGTAGGGCGGAGTACGCTATGCAAATTTCCGCAGCCCCAAGGCATTGCATGCCATTGGCTCGTGTTTAAATACTCGAAGAGGATTGGCTTTCTATGCGAAATCCCCCAATCTCCGTCACTTCTGACGTAACGTCTCCGTTCCCTACTCAGGGAACGAGGGTTACATACGTAACCGAGACGTTTTCCATACATGAAAATAATCACTGGCAGTTGAGTTGCAATAGTGCTCAGTTTGTTCTAAAATATATATTGTATCAGGAATTGAATCCAGCCCCAATCCACAGGCCCGTTACTAGGGCATGAGGTCCTTGTTCTATCTATTCCATGTCCCCTCAAAAAAGTGGTGCCACCTTTTTTTCAAATGATTTAATTAATCATTAATGAGGTTTTGCATAATTTGAATAGATTACAATAGAATACAATGAGGCATTTATATAGCTTTTTCATATATACTACTGTACACCCAAAGCGCTGTACAATCATATCAGGGTCCTCCTCAACCACCACCAGTTATCTTCATAATTAGCATATGAACCACACATATTATGTTTAAGAAAAGATATTAAATCTTTTTTTCCAAAAAAAGGCTTGTAGACTTTTAATATAGGTATGTCTGGTATTACATAGCAAGAAAAGTTTATCATGCTTTTAAGTATTTTAGTCAATAGATTACTAGTACATATTGAATCCAGATTTATGCATTAATTTATACCTTCTACATAAACAATGATATCTGTCATGGGAATGACACACATGTGTACAATATAGTGTAGGGGAATTTACAGATAAGAACCGAGGACAACATATCATCAATAAAAAGTCTTTTTAAAAAACAAGATTTTTACTGAAGAAGATTTTGCCGTTTCATCAGCAGAAGTGCTCTGCGTACACATTTAATACAGCAGCAATTATACTTGAACACAGGTCACTGTATACACCATTGTTTCAGGTTGAATGATTCTGATTGGTTAAGGCATTGATAAACTACTAAAAATTCTACATATGGGCTGTTAGTCAGAAGCATATCTCCATTGCTCATCTTGATGAAATCCATGATCTCTGAGGTTACAAATCTCTGTTAGTGTCTAGTGTCCAGTTCATTCTGGGTGCCAACTGATCACCTCACAAACATCAGGTCCTGTAACAAATGGTACTAAAACACATTCACAGAGACACAGCTTCTTCAAGGTTGGAGTTGGTCGAGCTCTAGCTCTGATCAGGAAACTTTACCAAAATATGCTGTATTCTTCTCTCAGTAAGTGGTTCAGACATTATTCATCATTATTCTCTAATGATTGAAGATGAAAAGTGAAGTAAATGCTTTGAATGTGAGTTACATTTACAGCTAGAATGAGTTACATTTACAGCTAGAAGAGTAAATATATGATTTAACATCTGTTGGGTGCTTCTTTCAAAAACAAAGATAGAGAATATATTTCAGTGATTATATAACTACTTAAATATTATTAGCCCGAAAAAGTCATTCAAATAATGAGCCCATTCTCACCCCCAAGGCGTCACCGAACCGATGCCTTGGGAAGCATTTTGACCATGCTTCAATATCTGACACTTTAGGCACCCTTTAGCGTCAGTGGGATGACGCCCTACGACCGCGTGTACCCTACCCCCACCCCAGACCTAAACCTACCCGCGTCATCTAACTGACGCTTTCCTTTAGCGTCAGTTAGATGACGCCGTAGGATCGCGTCATGTAATTGATGCTAAAGGGCGCCTAAAGCGTCAAATATTGAAGCATAGTCAAAGGTGGCGCCTTGGGGTGAGAATGCGTGGAGCGAATAATTTATATTTAAAAGGATCATTGATTAATCAATTGATTAACAACCACTCAAAGGATATATATATATTTATTTAAATGATTCTGTAATCCACCATTTTAATAGCAGTTCTCTAGTTGGCCAGTTCCAATAAGATGTTGTCATTGCTTCCAAGTCAGTTGCAGTCGTTCCCTTTAACGAGGAAGAAAGTTCCTATAGCGACTCCCAATAGTCCAAGAGTCAGACCCACTCCACAGAACACATCAGGACCAACACTTGGGAGGGCAACATCAACATCTAAAAAAACAAACAAACATAAATAGGATATTGGAGGCTGCGTGAAATATTAACAGAGAGAATACATTTTTTATTATTAAGCTGAACTAAAATCTAATATAAATTCCTTGGATTTGAAAATGACACTCACCCCATGTTTTGGTCTGAAGTTGACCCTGAAGGGCTATATGGTTCACAGTGCAGGTGTAAATGTCTCCTTCAATAGGTGTAATCCTAAAAGTAGAGAAGATGCTGAAGGTACCATCTGCCTTTGGACGGTACTGACTTAAACTCATGCCCTCTGTCACATTAACGTTATTCTTAGTCCATGAGATGCTGATAGATGGAGGATAGAAGTCGGTCACATGACAGACGAGGGTGTTCTGAACACCTAGTTGTACATCATCCCTTGGATAGATGGATGTTTGTGGTGCATCTAGAAGGAAAATATGTAAAAAAAAAAAAAAAACCAACAAATATAGATTTAAACAAATATAGATATCACTGTAAACTTTTGAGACAAAACTTGATTACACTGGATGTATATATGTAACTGTAATTTATTTTATGTTTACTGATAGATTAAAATGCTCACTTCATGCATCATAGTGTAAATCATGAATTTGTTTTTTAATAAAATTAGGTTAAAAAAAGGCATTATTGTTTATAACAAGAGTGTAATTGTTATGTTGTTATATCTGGCTACCACTGACGTTTAATGCATTTGTAGATGGGATATTAATAGTAATGATCCTCTTTATAAAGAGTTATCATATCCCTGTACTGTACATATACAATATTGATGTTCATTCAAAAATATAAGATTTAATAGCAAATTTCCATGCCTTACCCATTACTGGTGGGGGGTGGTTGAAAATGTTAGTCAAAAAGGCTACCTCATTTTTGCACCCTTTCATTTCAACAACACTTGTTTCATAATAACCAGGAAATACAATAGGATTTCCAAAATCAGGTATTGTTACAACTCCTTTCTTCTGATTATAGTCGGCATGCCACATTTCCTCTCCATCAATTCCATGCATATCCTCTCCATCGGTCTCCGAACATCCATGAATTGCAAAATATTCATGTAACACTGAAATAGAATGTGCATGATAAAGTCAATTAATTCACTTTCAGAGACACGCGGAAGAGTTTCTTTTGTTACCTGTGTTTGTTTCACTCCCCAGGAGTTAACGTGGCCAATTGATTACACATTAAAAGAACTATGCATAGTTCATTAAAATAACTATGCATAGTTCTTTTAATGTGTAATCATCAATGTAAAGCATAACCGTGTGACTGTGGGTATATTAAAGGGGCTATGTGTATGTTTTTAAAAGTCATGTATGTTCTTAAAAGTCATAGTAATAGTAAGCAGTATAGCAGTAGTGTTTCAAATGGACTCCAACACAATTCAGACACCAACGGAAACTCCTCAATAGTTTTTTTTTCTATACACAAATGAAGATATTTGGAAGAATGTTTTAATCAAACAGATCTCATTCCCCATTGACCATAGGAAACAATACATACTATGGTAGTCAATGGGGAATGAGATCTGTTTGATTAAAACATTCTTCCAAATATCTTCCTTTGTGTTCAGCAGAACAAATAAACACATAGAGGTTTGGAACAACATGAGGGTGAGTAAATGATGAAAGAATTTTCATTTTTGGGTGAACTACCCCTTTAAGATGCACGCAAAACCTTCTTTTCTGCTTTTAAATAAAACGAAAAGCTTGTCTTCACTGGATGATAATGATGGTGGTGAAGAACCTATGTCCCGCAAGTCATAGCATTGTCCCACATTTAATTTTTGTCTGCATCCTTTTATTTAATCGTCCTTTAAATTACAATCCTACAATAAAAAATTTGATAAGAAAACATAGAAAATGCGCAGCACAGACGTTACTGGAGCCATCACAAACAAACAAACAAACTCTTCGTGGAGAGAGTGTTTGCTTTGATGAATGCTGCGTGGACAAGGAACCACGCAACTGTGGACTTCTTTTAAAAAGTGAACTGGTGAAAGTGAGCTACACCTGCCAGTGGTTACTGACATATGTCCAAAATTAATGAGAAGGCCCTATCGAAGCTGCCAGATCAGACAAACACTAAATTCAAGATGCACTGATCGAATCCGGTAAGAACGCATTCATCTTTAATCTTTCAACATTTCAACATTCATCTTTAAATGTGCTTATTTGGAAATGCTAACACACAAATACTATTTAGCGATTGGGATTTTTTATTTTTTATAAAGCCTATTAACAATTTAAAGCATCATGTTAACATCACTGCAAAAAGACATCTAATATAAAATCTATATTTATTCACCTAGTAGGCTATAATAATGAGTATATTACGTTTTCTCCCTAGTGCCCCGTAGTCAATGGGGAATGAGATCTGTTTGATTAAAACATTCTTCCAAATATCTTCCTTTGTGTTCAGCAGAACAAATACACACTCTGATTGCTGTGGTCATGGTCATACGAGCGTGCGCACCGAGAACAAGAATGAGACTGGCTGCAGGTTCTCTAACGGCCACTAGTGTCAGTAACGGTTAGAAATTTCAGAACTTACACAATGCTCCTTAACAGTCAATCTAACGTTGTATTTGTTATTTATTAATGAGCTATTCTCTGTGAGAATATTCTTATTTATGTAACTTTATGTGATTTTTATTTAGTTCTCACAGCATGTTGGATGGCATTGAGGGTGACATAATTTGACAAATAAATGCCATAAACAAGAACACCTTGTATCCGTGTCTATACTGGAGGGAGCTACAGAACTTTTTTTATTGAGTTCAGCACTGCAAGGTCTATTTTCAAATTATCCACTCAAAAACCCCAGTACATGCATGCTATTTTTTCTTATGTCACTGGTGTTTTCTTTAAATTTTAAAATCAACTTCTTGTGTTTTCAAGGAGAGTGACCTAATAATATATGCTACCTATTAAAATGTTCTTCCAGTGCTATCATAGTTATAAGGTCTATCCATCCATATTCCCAAACCATTGGAGGGTCAAAGATGTAATGTGTTGGAAGCAAAACCTATGCAGATGTAATGCTTGATTATAAACAGTAACTGCAACTATTCAAAGTATAAGTCAAAAAATCATTAGCCGATCTGGAATCATTTACACATCCTTACATGTACTGTAGGGTACATTTCAGAATATGGCTTTACATGAGTTGTCTGTTAATATTTTAAAAGCAAGAAAATCTGAAAAAGTGCTACCCTAAATAGAAAAATGGAAATGGAATTTATTGAATACAAGAACATGTAAAAAATACAAGAACATTCTGTAATAATTATGACGTGTTCAGACAACTGTGGGCTATTAATTGTTTAGAGAGCATTACCTGCAACTGTGTAGTCTATTCAACTCTTAGATCTGTCAGAAACTTGTCTTGCAATGTCTTCATTGACTACAACTTCTGATAACATTTTTACTGATTATAAAACTTTAACTTACGTTCAGCATTGGTTGGAAGAACAACAGAAAGGGTTAGTATGGTTATGTAGAGCTCCATCTTGATACAAGAGAGTCGAGCAAACGTCAGAGAAATATTTAACAAAGGTGAAAAATCAGGTATTTCCTCTGTAAAGGCTTTTGCATCATCCACTCAGAGTTTGACCCACAAAATGACATGACTGTATCTAGGAGGAATAAAAGCTTTTCCTTTTGCACCTGTCAGGCAGCTTGGTGAACTTTTTCTAACATGGTTGCTTCAGTCTGCAAGTGTAAATACAATACTCCAGAGGCAAACTGTTTTATTTTTATTTTTGTTTTGTTTGTTTTTTACTGCTAAATAGAGTAATGAGCTTTGGACTGACCCTCAAAAATATTGTCAGTGGGTTCAGTGAGTTATTAAAATTGTGATAATCAAACATGATAATTCAATTTTAAACTACAATACTAACCGTCAGTATATTTTATCGTGGTGAAACCGGTAATCGTCCCATCCCTAGTTCCGTTGCTTTCATTTTGTTCATCAATTGATGTTGCAATGATTTATATAAAATATATATATAAAGTTATTCTCGAGTCATACAGTTCAAGTCAAGTCAAGTTGTGAGTCATTGGATCTCAAGTCAAAGTCAAGTCAAGTCATTTTCTTAATTTAGTCAAGCAAGTCTCAAGTCCTTAAATGTGCGACTCATATCAGACTCGAGTCAAGTCATGTGATTCGAGTCCCCCATCTCTGCCAAATGGTGATGTTTGTCATTAATTATTCGATTTTGGTTGTCTATTCAGGAGCTCACACTGTGAGGTCTGCCATGATTTACATACAGCACTTGATAATAATTTAATTATCTGGGTTTATAAGGAAAAGGAGCGGAAAGGTTCGGGGAGTCTATGGGCCCTATTTTAAAGATCTGAAATGCAAGTGTCAAAGCGCAAAGCGCAAGTAACTTTGTGGGCGGGTCCCGGCGCTGTTGCTATTTTCGGGCGGGATAAATGCCTCTTGCGCCTGGCGCAAATCTAAATGAGGTTGGTCTGAAGTAGCTTCATTATTCATAGGTGTGGTTTGGGCATAACGTGAAATAAACCAATCAGAGCCTCATCCAACATACCCTTTAAGAACAGGCGTGCAGGCTGCATGACGGATTGTTATTATAACGGCGGGTTTACCAGGCGCGCACCAGGAGTGTTCACAGCCGATGAGACCGAAGTTCTTGTCAGGACAGTTAAAGACAGAGAGGTGACGTTGTATAGGGATGGGAGAAACCCTCGCACATCAGCGTCGGTTAAACATTATAGCCTATACGTATGTTTCTTGCCACTATTGGGCAAACAGGTCTGATCTTTCAGTACTACAATTAGCCTTAAAAAATGGGTAATAAGATTTTTTTCATCTTCATGTAAAGCACAATGATTTCCCTCATGTTTTAACATGTTTCCTTGTTATAATGTATGATTTGCAAAAATAAAAACTGCTGCATCTGTGTTGATGAGAGAAGTGTATGCGCGTTGAGCACCCGCTACATTATGGCCAAGCATGCACGCTTAAAATAGCATTATGAACAATGCGCAACACGCCACTGACTTTAGACCAGCTTTTTTCTGGTCAGTGGCGCAATTGTTTGGAAGGAAGGGAAAATTCCCGCTTTGCTTGCGTGCAAAATAGGAATGAGACATGCGTTTGTGTATAAAGTCATTTGCGCCGGGTGCAAGATAGAGCCCTATATGTTAACTGCCCGCACAATTGCTGTGTGCAACTCTATTGACAAGTAATAATTTCTTCAAATTCTGTTATTTCGGAATCATTGTTATGAAATGCTTAACTGACGATTTTATCCTTTTTAATTTGATTTTGAATTATTGCTTCATTACCTGGTCAATAAATTGTAAACATTTTATTTTATTTTGAGTGACTCTGAAAGACTGTTTTTTCCTAGATAATTTCTTTCCTACATCAATAGATTTGTATATTTCCACGCCTTTCGCGTCAGATTAGCGACAGCTAATATCCAATACCATTTTAAGAGTACTTGAATGAAGGGACAAGTTATTTCCGACTAGAATCAGCAAATGCTGTTTTAATCAACCTAGTTTTGGGTGTGTCCATATCCACTGTTTTAAGTCAGTGATTACTTTGGATAAACGTACGTGGTTTACAGACCACGGGCTTGACCTGAAGCCATTTTAAGAGAAGTTGAGTTGATGCACTGTTTTCTTTCATGGTTGTCAATCGTCCCTACCAAAGTAATAATTTGATTCAATTTCTAGAGGAGGATTCATTCAAGGGGACTTGTATATGTATCTTTGATTGCAGGTGTGAATATGGCAGATCTCAGATATTTAGTCAAATTACCTCTGAATTGGTTATTGGAACTGACGGGAGTGTGGTTCGAACTTCAGAGAAGGACTGCTGAGCGATATAGTTTCCTGATTGCGGAATATAGGTGGGAGTAAGTCACTAAATGCAAGTCTCAAATCAAGCCCAATGGATAGTTCACCCAAAAATGAAAATTCTATCATCGTTTACTCACCCTCAAGTTGTTCCAAACCTCTATGTGTTTATTTATTCTGCTGAACACAAAGGAAGATATTTGGAAGAATGTTTTAATCAAACAGATCTCAATCCCCATTGACTTCTATAGTACTAAAGTCAAGCCGAGTCTTTCAGAGATCTAGTCAAGTAAGTCTTAAGTCCAGAAAATTGCGACTCGAGTCTGACTCGAGTCAAGTCACTTGACTCGAGTCTACCACCTCTGTTGCTGAATAATCAAACATTTGCTATAACGTTTAATGATGCATGGATATCATTAAAACCTATTAATTTTATGTAGTCAGGTGAATAAACGGGGCAATATATATGAGAAAATATATTGCATTTAATCTTTTTGTGTTGCGTGAAAGGAAAGGCAAGATATACACAGAGTAAACTTCTTCTGCTGATTGGATGCCGCATTTGGACCAATCGAGCTGGACTTTACAACGGCAAGTAGACATGCTTCAAGATGGCATTGCAAAGAGCACAGCAACACTTTCCATTATGTCAAAGAAACATTTGTGTACAAAGCCTGGAGAAGAACTGGAAAAAAAGAGACAGAAAGTTGGTGGAGTCAATGTCCTTGTTCACATTGATGAAAGCAAGTTTTGCCACAAACGCAAGGTAGTGTAATCTAAAAATGCAATTTTGACTTTCACTGATATTTTATTTATTTTGTTTAACCTAAAGAAGGGTTATCTCATGCTTCAGTATAATAAAACAGGAATGTGTTCTTAACACAAAATGAAATTAATACTCAGTGTTTAATGTTTAATTCAATATTTTGTTTCTTGTTTACAATAAATTTTATTAAATGGTTAGTTCACCCAAAAATGAAAATTCTGTCTTTATATCCTCACCCTCGATTTTTCTAAACCCGCAAGACTTTCTTTTATCTTCGGAACACAAATGATGATCTTAATTATAAAATACTGTATGAACGATTCCTGTCCCTTAATTGACAGCTACGCAACTACCACTTAAACAAATTCACAAAGAAATCATAAAACTAAACCATGTGACTGCAGTGGTTTAACCTCAATTTTAAGATTTTCTTAACATGTAAGCATAGTTACTGTGTTATATGGAGAGTTTTAGATGAGAACACCTGATTAGAAATAAATTGATACATGGCTGATACAGAGATTTTCTTTAGTATATATTTTTTTCTTTAGGTATACTGGTCATGCTGTTTTTTTTTTTTTTTTTTTTTTTTTGGTAGTATGCAAGAGGACACTTTTGCAACACCTAGAAAAGAAAGCGAATGTGGGTATTTGGTATACTTGAGATTAAATCTGCAAGCAGACGCTCCATTATTCGCCTTGTGAAGAAAAGAAACAAGGATACCCTTGTTCCCATAATCAGGAAACATGTAAAACGTCAAAGTCTAGTTGTGAGTGATGAGTGGAGAGCATATGCCAGTCTTTCCCCGGAGGGTTACAAGCATGTCAGAGTCAACCACAGCCAGAATCATGCAGATCCACAAAAAGGACTACATACTCAAAACATTAAGAGAGCGTGGCAGACTTACAAGAGGGAAGTTTGGCGTATGCGGGGGAATCGTTCTGAGAAGGCCTTAAAAAAACAGCTCAGCTTCATTGAGTGGACCTACTGGTTAGCCAGAAGATATATTGGAAGACTTCTCAAGGACATAAGGAATGGTAACTGCAGATAAGTTTAAGAACTTTCTGTAAACCTTACTGTCATGAAAGGCAAAATGTAATCAATTATTGTTTGTAGTTTATAACTTTTGGTATTGGCCTTGGGCAGTTGAAATGTTGTTGTAGACAAGTATTGAGAATTTTGTCATTTTGAAATGCTCAATAAAATGTCACATAATCAGATGTGATCCTGATACCCTAGTAAAGAATTGGTTGTATTATTTCAACGCATTCTCACCCCAAGGCGTCACCTTTGGACATGCTTCAATATTTGACGTTTTAGGCGCCCTTTAGCGTCACTTACATGACGCGATCCTACGGCGTCATCTAACTGACGCTAAAGGAAAGCGTCAGTTAGAGGACGCGGTTGGGTTTAGGTGTGGGGTGGGGGTAGGGTACACGCAATCCTAGGGCGTCATCTAACTGACGCTAAAGGGCGCCTAAAGCGTCAGATATTGAAGCATGTCCAAATGCTTCCCAAGGCGTCAGTTAAGTGACGCCTTGGGGGTGAGAATGGGCTGATTATTTGGAGTATTTTTTTTTTATTTATTTAATAAAAGTGCATTTTTTTCTCTGATGTGGTGCCTGTTGTGCTTGTTCTACTTCAGTCAGGTATGCAAAACTGTTCTCGTTTTAAAATAAAATATTAAATATGTTGCATATAATTAATGGAAACCTGTAGTAATCTGTTGATGGGTTATAGACTTTCTACTCATATCAACTGTTTTTCACTTTAATTAGATAGTCCTAAATTATATCTACTAACCCTTGGAGAATGTCTAGTAATAGTCTACTGATCATAAACAATATATTTGTTGACAAGAAACAGATAAGCAACTAACCTTTAGTTGACTATCAACTGATTATCAACAAATGGTAAACTAGAGATTTTTTTAAACAGTTTTTATTCAGTTGAAATAATC